GCGCGGACATTAATCGCGATCTACGGGCCGCTCGGGCCTGAATCTGCCCATCCCCGTTGGCATTCCTCGTTTTACGATCGATACGGTACCAAGAAAGTAATGCGATCGACGTTTTCGCGATACTTTCACCCTGCTGGGCCGGGCCGGTCCGCTCGAATCACAGGGCCGCCCGGCCAGGTGTGCCCGGCGTTTCGTTACCTTTCCGAACGGAATCGAACCTGCTTCGTCAAAAGTGGCCTAATAATAGACGTTCCGTGACGAACGCGCGCCGCGAATAACGGACAATGAAGCGGCGGCCGTGTCGAATCGGATCCAGGACGGAAGGGGGGCCTGTTTTTAAAATGCGCGCGCTGAAATAGCGTTCTATTTGGAAACTGAATCATCAAGTGGGCACGAGTGCTTCGTTACTGTCGATCGTTTCTGGCATAAAGCTCTTTTTCATACTCTTCAGCCGTCGCGTTCAAAGAAGTAGAGTAATTCTGAAATCGGTCAGTACAATTGAAGCGATTATTACTAGAACAGCGTAAGTCGATCGATCAACACTTCGAGGAAATCAATATTTTTCGTCTTCGTTAATTCAGTTAATATCTGTTTTATTGGTTCCTGTTGCGAATATTTGGATATATATATAAATGTTCGTTACGTGTACATGTTTAGTACTATCGAATAGGTCTGAGGAAACTACAAATAGTGAAATCGATAATTCGTATAGATAACGTTGAAAAGTGGACTTGTGCTGTATTAGAATTCACAATTTCAACTGTGCTCTTAACGTGATGAATAATACGTAGGGTCACCGGTGACCCCCAACTGAATTGAATCGCTATAATTAACTCAATTAACCTCTTGCTCCATGGTTTATTTCTCAAGTATGATTGATACAACTGCTTTGCTGTCAATGAGAAAATTAATGACAAATATATTTATTTATTACACAGCATAAATATTATTATAAGGTAAGTGTTATTACGTGACTTTATATTGGCTTTTATATTCATTATTCTCGTGTATTCATTTACAGGAACATAACTAATAACTTCCATTTAAATTTTTACGACATTAGTGCCTAGATAATCTCGCCTACCGAACAATCAGTCAAGCTAAGTAATCGTTAATCCTGACTATGAATAATAAGCGTGCTTGTAGTCATAAATAACTTTCGCCAGGGACAAGTGAAAGGTACCGATTAATGATTACGATGCTTTTTTTGACTGCGATGATGCCGATCGTGGCAAAAATATCGAAGATTAACTAGGTACGTTAATGACTTCGAAGTACGTAGTAAATTGACGCTTGTCGTAAAATACTATTTTACCAATGACAAATGGCCCGACGTTAATTCAGGAAAACGAGATTATTAATTACAAGCTAATAATTAACTAATAATTTTCTTATCGTTTCCGTGACGCTATGCATATTAACTAGCAAAACAAATTTTCTCGTTGATTATGGCCCACATATTAATCTAGATATTTCATTTATTTGTAATACTGTATACAAATTCAGGTCATCAATTCTTAAATCTTAATTTTCTTAATTTTAATACTTTAATAAATTTCAATATTTTTTTGGAATCTCTTTAAAATTTCAATTAATTATGGCCTTGGAAAATTTTCTGTTAAAAGAATTTAAAGTTCATCGAATAAAAAATCTTGAATGAAAAAATTGGACTAAAAATGTTATTAAATTGTCCATTGATAAAAAGTTACATCGGTTCTGGACGAAATTGTCTGAAATAAATTCATTCCGACAGGGAAAACGTTCGTGTTTATAAAACGTTTAATCTTTGTCTGAGCCCTCAACCTCGGATTAAATGCACGGTATACTTTCACTGTAAACACGGTCTTCGGTTCCGGTACTGTGTTTGAAGACACGCGCGTCTGTCCACTGTTGGCCATTTCTACTTACAGCAAACAGTGGAGTCTGTTCTGCGTCGTTTTGCTAATTGTTAGCTCCTTTGTTACGGTTTACGTTTAATTGTTGTGAAGGAAGAACAGTACCGAGATATTCTTAATATGTATAATTAGTTTGCGAATTTTTGTACAATTGTTGTACGTATAGGACTAAAAGAATTTTCTTAAAATATATTGTTAAAATAGATTTTATACTTCAATTGTGATAATGAAAAAAAAATGAAGTTCTATGTAAATTGGTTTATGGTACATATTTATCGTTCAACAATTTATCTGCGCGCAGATAAATTGTATACAAAATATAATTAGAGTTTACGTTTATTGCTTTCGATTTAGCATGACGAGATAATGAAATTCTTCGAAAACTACTGTAAAATTCCAGTTCATCAGCATACTGTGAAACGTTGATTAACGAGACCAAACCGAAGGAAAAGTCCTTCGACGTTTCCCACGCGAAACTCGATACGGAAACGTGTACAATTCTACTGAACAAAAATTATCAACAGCTAACGACTTATGGGTACTGTATCAAATATCAATCTAACGTTGATAGATCGATCAATTTCTCTAACAAATAATGAAACAAAAGACTATTTTACTTCCTTCAGACTAGACTAATCCATAAAAGATGCTCCCTTTAATATTGAATAATTCTAAACCGTATAATTTCACAACTCCTTGTTGAATTACAAATATTGGGTCACCCCATAAATAATATAATTTTTTACGTTATCTTCTATTGTAAAAAATCAATGCATTCTTTTAAATCATCAATCGGGCATCGATATGTATAACCCTTTCCCCTTTCTTGATCAATTTTCTACCACCATTTTTAAAAGCGGCATTAAAGAACACCTTACAAAGTAAGATAAGAAACAACGTTACATATGGAACGACTTGCTATTCAAAAGAATTAGAATCGACTTTTCGATCGTATTTGAATGAATCGATCAGACACTGTCTTACAAAATCACGTTACATAAAAATCTTATTCGTGACAGATTAAATCGCGTTCAGATAAATCATCCAGCGACGCGTAAGAATACTTGATAAATCCAAATAAACCAAGTCTATACGGGAATCCTCGTTTATTTGAATAATGGAGCAGGCTCGTCGTCGATGTACGCGCCGCTGTAATCTCGTTGCGCGCTATCGGGAAATATCGTTAGAAACAATCGTTCTTGAGGACAGTGCAAATGTGGACAATGTTCACCATTCGAACAATGTTACGCGGGAGACCTTTGCGTCGCGGTCTAGGCTGTTTCCTGGGTTCCGTGAAACAGTCCGGGCTAAAAATACCGAGTTGCAGCTATTGCACACCGACGACGAGCCGTTCCATTGAACACCGCTGACATTAACCGGTATTAGCAGAATGGGAAGATGATCGTTAGGTAACGGGAGTCATTGT